AAAGTGTCAGGTTTATTGATACATTTCAGTCCCTTTTCCTTTGCCCAGACTGTATTTTTACTCAGTTCTGTAAGCTTGCTTGTTGATTTTTTTACCTAATGCTGATAGTACTTAAAGCTGAATGGATGATGATTATTCCTTTAGTGTTATCTCTGGCTTCACAGGAGCAAAGTGAAGGGTTAATGCATTAACTGAGTCAGTGTTTTTAAAGGCAGGCAAACTTTTAATGCATCCTGGCAGGGCTCTGAATTCCTAATGCATGAACGCTGATGCTGTTATTAAAACTGCAGAGTTCCTATAGAGTGCAATTATTATGTTTGCTCTGTAAACTATGGGATTCTTGTCTGTTTCAGTAGGGTTATAGCAAGGCCAACCGTGTGTGAGCAAGATGTTGCTATTTGCAAAAGATTGTGTCTGCACCCGGCGAAAGTAAAACTTCACATAAGAACACACACAAAAAGTCCCCTTCCTATCACAGGGTGATATATAGCACATTCATTACCTAGCATGTGGTTTCCTAACTGTGGAGCTCACAGAAAGTCCTCCTTACACATATGGCTCGCATATGAAACTCAAGAAAACCCACATAAAGAAGAATGTAAACTACAAGATTCAAGATGGGGTAAAAACTCCTGAGGACAGCTTTTAGAATGTCTCATTTTTCACAACCTATTAAAATGAAAAAAGAAAAAGAGCCCTGGAAAAACAACAACCGAGAGCTAAGCTTGCTGAAACTACATCCAACAGAGGGGCTGGACCCAGGAGGATTCTCCCAGGTTCTCTAATAAAGACTCAACTGTGCTCCCATCTGGCATATTGGTAGTGAGATTTCACCCAAGTCTATTCAGCATAGTCCTATGAAAAATAATCTCTTTAAACCAGTCCGGCACTCGCAGGAAACAAACAAATGTTTTGGAGATTGGATATGCTCAATGAAGCCCGTTTTGCTGACAATGTGCTCATGACATTTACTTCCTTGACAAGTGATCCTCGAGCTATTCCATATGAGAGAGAGAGAGAGAGAGAGAGAGAGAGAGAGAGAGAGAGAGAGAGAGAAAGGAGGGTGGATTGCATTTGTTATTTTACGGCACAGTTCAATGGGCTTGTGACTTTTAAATTAATGCATCTCCTCATTTAGGGTTTTGAAAGCACTTTGAGCTCAAGTGTCTAATTACGCACATTATGCAACAAGTTTAAAAAACGGCAAGGCACAACTTTTGACTCACCATAAACCATGGCGCCTCCCGTTTCATGCAAAAAGCGGAATCGGTGGTTTTTAAACAGCCAAATGGTGAGTATCGTAAGGATGAGCAAGAAGTTAAAGACCAGCAGCTCCAAAGCACCCTGGTGATAAAAGTGGTCCTCATCTTTCACTGACCCTAATTTCCTTGGCTTCTCCATTTCATCGCTATTTGTTTTCAATACTCTACAATCACCCCGCAGAATTAGCTGGAAAATGCCATGCTAAAGAAAACTTGAGACGTTAAATCCTGAATGGCTGCTTTGGTAAAAGAAAGCCTAGACAGCACTGAAATTCGCAACAAACACATCTGCTTTATTTGCAGCCTCTCAGCAAACTGCCACAGCATCTGAATTCAGCTGGATTCTGGTTACAACTTCCTGTTTCCCTCTTAAAGCTGTCCTGTCTCATTTTTTATCTTGAGGTTGCATCACTGTAGTGTCTTTTACTTGGGTGTGTCTTGATGGCTTTCTCATCTGCAAATGATTTTTTGTTGTTAAAAAAAAAAAGAGGGAGAAAGGGTTCACACATTAAGAAGGTAACAAAGTTTTAAACAAGTACCATCATTAATTGTAAGGGTGCTCTATGTTTTAATGATTGCTGCTCTATGTTTAATGATTTATTATCTTTGCTTATTTTGTTTTGTTCATGAATTACTTCTCTGGGTACATCCCAAAGCAATTCAGAATAGAAGGTTCATAAAAAAGAAATCTCTATAAAATCAATTTCAAATCAAATACAGATACAGAGTAGAATAAGAATCTCCATTTTAAAAACCTGTTGAAAAAGGAAGGTTGTTAAAAAGGAACTAAAAAGACAACAGAGATGCTACTTGCGTGTCAAAGCCCCAAGCCACCCCCATGAGAATAAAGACACAAGGACACAGAATTTTAGGTTAATGTTAATGGGCAAAATTTAGGCCACAACTTTATTGGTTACTCCTGCCAACCTAGCAGTTTGATAGACCGTCAAACTGCAAGTAGATAAATAGGTACTCTCCGGTGGGAAGGTAAACAGCTTTTCCATGCGCTGCTCTGGTTTGCCAGAAGTGGCTTAGTCATGCTGGCCACATGACCCGGAAGTTGTATGCCGGCTCCTTCGGCCAATAAAGTGAGATGAGTGCCACAACCCCAGAGTCGGTCATGACTGGACCTAATGTAATGGTCAGGGGTCCCTTTACCTTATTGGTTACAGAATGTGAGTTGTATTGGCTTAGGCATTGGCCTCAACAGACTATATCTGACTCCTGCCCGCCTTGCAGGGAGTCTGGTAAGGGTAAACTACCAGTAGGGGGAGCTCCGCTGATGTGGATAGACTTGAGCATCCCCCGGGTTCCCGGTGTGGTCGTGGCATGGCCCTAGCCCCTCCCTGGGCTTCAGACGAGATCCACCCCCCGGATACCTTTAATGGAATACTCCTGAGCACGGAGGAGCAGGTGATGGCTACACCTCCCCCCCCATTGCTATTCCAATGCCTAACCACCACACAACCCCAACGCTCGCTGCCAATACCCTCACACCTGCAACCAACCTCTTATGCCTTTGATAATATCGGCCAACCACACATCATTTCTGCCATCAGAAAGATGAACGCCATCTGCCCGGTAAAGGGCCTCGTTGCTGTAGGCAATTCCTGTGAATAAGAATCTCCATTTTAAAAACTTGTTGAAAAAAGAAGGTCACTAAAAAGGAACCAAAAAGACAACAGAGATGGCATTTTTCTGATATGTAATGGGATTCCGACATCATAGGAAATGGACCATCTGATGAGAGACTATCTAAAGGAGAACCCCCACCCTTCAGGTATCCTGGCCCCAAGCTGCATAGGGCATGGTGCGTTAATATCAGTACCATGAACTTTGTCCAGTAGCTAATTGGCAATCAGTGCAATTTTTTCAGCAGTGGCGTAAAAAGGTAGGGTTATTCTGCCCAAGTGAGCTGCTACATTTTGCACTAGCTTCCAGGCCAACCTTAGGGGCAGAATCATGTAGAGTGCGTTTGTAGTGGAAATGCGGAAGGCAATTGTATTTCGAGGAGTTAGGTGGCATGTCCCTTTCCCTTTAACATCCCCAATTTGAGGTCTGCTGGGTTCTTGTGTTTCACACACCTGTTGGGAGTTGATTGGGTTCTTCTGTGTTGCAAGTGCTGACTGGATGCCTGCTGCAGGTAGTGGGAGACTCTCAGCCGCTCTGTATCAATCATGAGTAATGCCAGGTGCACTTGATCACATCAAGGCAGGCTATAAAAGCCATAGGTGGGAGGGGCCTGGTGAGCTTATGCCCAGATCAAAGGACCTGATGCTGGGAGTCCGATGGTCGGGGTCTTTCTCCTGCTGCTCTACCTGGGGCTCCGGGCAGCTGAAGGGGAGATTGGGTAACCCCTGTCGGGTATGTTTTATATTATGCTTTGTATGCCTGCTGTTTATTTGCTAATAAAACTGTTTTGGTTCCCCTTCCACCTCCTCATTCCTTTTGTCCTGATATTCTTGGAAAGAACTGCTGTATTTGGCAGCACAGCGTTGCAATCCAATCTGGATTTTATCAGTGCATGGCGTACAGGTTTGGGCTATAGTGCTCTAATGGCCATAGCTGTTTTACAGTAGCTAAAGGTGGTAAAAGACACTCCTAGTCACTGAGGTCACATGGGATTGCAGTGGGTTTGTACCTTAAAGCACTATATAGTGTCATATTGCTTCTAAACAAAATATGCTTTTGACAGATATCACTAGATTTTCTTGAGGGCTGGGTAGATGGTAGTTGTAATTCCTTATAGCTTAATTATTATTTTTTAAAAACTGTTTGGAAAGTTATTGTAAAGAGCAATAAAATAGTGGCACACAAAAGATGAACTTGTCAAGTTGGTAATGATACACTGGGCAAAGGATTTGGGACATAATATTCAGATGGCAGGTTATGAAAGGTTATGAGAAAGTAGTACAGTGAGAAATCAGATTGGAAAAGGTTATAAAAATTCATGGCATGTTGTACATTGAAAGAAAATTACTGTATATGAAAATGATGTACCAGTGGTATTTGACTCCTACTAAGTTAGCAAAAATGTATAGGACAAGTTCAAATATTTGCTGGAAATGTAAAGAAAAAGAAAGTACCTTCTATCATATGTGGTAGACTTGTAAGGTAATAAAAGCTTTCTGGGAGATGATATATAATGAAATAAAAAAATGCTTAAAATAACTTTTGTTAAGAAACCAGAAGCTTTTTTATTAGGAATTACAGGTACCAACATACCAAAGGAGCAGAAAAGACTCTTTATATATGGAACAACAGCCGCTTGGATGTTATTAGCTCAGAGTTGGAAAGAAGACGAAGTCCCTACCAGAGAAGAATGGCAAACCAAGCTGATAGAATATGCTGAGATGGCAAAGCTGACTGGAAAACTCAGAAACCAAAAGGAAAAAAACTTTATAAAAGAATGGGAAAAAATTATAAGTTACTTACGAGATCACTGAAAGCAAATGGAAACAAGAGCAGGATTTTGACTTACTTGTAGTGTAAAAAATATTATGGACAATATGGTTCGATATAAAAATTGGAGTACGGATGAATATGCAGTTGTAGATACTTAAAATAAGATTTCATGAAGGGGATGGGGGAAGTCTCAAGATTCGGACAATCTCCTTGTACAGATATGTTCTTACTAGTTTGTGCTTATATATACTTTGTTTTTGTAATTCAATAAAAATGATTTAAAAAGAAAAGAAAGAGCAATGAAATGCTCTTAATGTCCTTGAGTTTTTGAAAGCCAGTGTGGTTCAGTGGTTAGAGTGTCAGGCCAAGAAGTGGGAGGCCAGAGTTCAAATCCCTACACAGCCATGAAACACACTGGGTGACCTCGGGCCAGTCCCACCTACCTCACAGGGTTTTTGTGTGGCTAAAATGGGGTGGGGCAAACTATGCCACCTTGAGCTCGTTGGAAGATAGAAGGGATATAAATGCAATAAATCATAGAATCATAGAATCATAGAGTTGGAAGAGACCACAAGGGCCATCGAGTCCAACCCCCTGCCAAGCAGGAAACACCATCAGAGCACTCCTGACATATGGTTGTCAAGCCTCTGCTTAAAGACCTCCAAAGAAGGAGACTCCACCACACTCCTTGGCAGCAAATTCCACTGTCGAACAGCTCTTACTGTCAGGAAGTTCTTGACAGTAATCAATCCAGGAGCATCCCTAGACTCCTTGGCTGTTACATTACAATGAGTACAACTCCACACCAAGCAGGAAATTAAAGAAATATCTGAACATCTTACCAACAGCAGTTTCTCAGCATTCAGTTTGTTGACTTTCACTCAGCCTTCCCCCAAGTTCAGGCATTGGTCCATGACATTTCCCAATTCAGATGTTAACAAGAAATAGTGTACTGATAACACCACACCCCAATCCTCCTGACCACTCACAAAGGCTTCAAGTAGATGTTGAATAGCCTTGGGGACAAGGTGGTATCTTGTGACACCCCACAGCACAAAGGTCAAGGAGTTGAGAAAAAATCACCCAATGCTGTTTTCTGATCCCACCATGGAGATAAGATCAGAATCACTATAAAACAGTGCCCCCAATATCCATCTCACTGAATCAGTTTGCATATTTGCAGCTAGGATTCTATATGCGTAGAAATGGAAGGAAGAAGTAGTTCCAACAAAAGAAGAATGGAGACGTAAGATAATGGACTATGGAGAACTGGCAAAATTAAGAGAATCCAATGATGAGTGTTTTATGGAAGAATGGATGCCTTTTCCAGACTGATTATGAATTTCACCTGAAATACTTTTTACTTATGTGGATCTGGGCATATTCCATAACAGTCCATAAACTGTGTAAAATTCCATTTTAAAAAGTTTTCCAAAGGGGGGGAGAATGTAAGAAAAGTGGTGGGGATTAAACTTCATCCCAGAATAAGTATGTTTGTTGACTGCCCCCCCCCGTGTTTTTAGAAGACAAAAGGAACAATATATGAAAGGACTCTTTCTTAGTGTGTTATCTATAGCTATTTGTTCAAAATCAGGGGGGGAAATGATACAATTATCTTAGTGTAATGTAAACTCTCTCACTGTAATGAAAACGAAGACATTTGGAAGTGTTAGCACATTGAATAATCAGAATACAAGGCAGGCCTTGTTTGCTAATTATTTATTGTACTGTTGGCATTTTCTTTATGTCTTGGTTTTCCCTTTATGTGTGAGCTTTTGTAACTGGAAATCACATGAAGACTTGAAGCCATGTAGTAGATAATGATTTTTCTTCAGGCTTCTTATCGTAGTGTACTTCACAAAGATGACTCAATCTGATGCTGATCCAGATACAGGCAATATCCACTGGTGTTAATTATATATATATATATAGAGAGAGAGAGAGAGAGAGAGACCCATTTTACTGAGCCCAAGAGGATGCTCACAACAATATTTTGTACTTGAGAGGATGTAATTCTTCCTAAGAAAAATGTAACTATTTTATGCATATGCAGATACTTCAGCTGCCCATCTACAATAAATATCCTAAATGGAAGGCTGTAAACTTCCATGCGGCCTGATGAAATAACGATCCATGTACTCTCCAAGTCAGGAGATAGTATCCTTTCAAAACAAGACTCAAGTCCTGGAGCAAGGACAGGCAGCTCAGCTGTACAGATGGCACACACACAATTATTTGCACAAAGCAAGTGATCAAATGAAGAAAATGGAAGCCGGGAGGCTACATAGTTCTTGTATTTATCTCCTATACTGACAAGTAGAGAAAACAGGGAGAATAATGTGAACTCCATGGGTAACAATGCAGACATCTCTTCAGTTTGTCCCTGGGGAATGTTCCTGAAGATCTTTATAGCCCATTTTATAGTCATTTTCTTATGACTATTTTTTTAAACACAGTTGCTGGGATTTAACTTTGGAATCTGTAGTCCCAAAGAGACTTTAGGATGGTGTTTCTCAAGCAGCAGCCCTCCCAACTAATTTCCCTCCTTCCCCTTATTCACTACACAACAAAGTATATACAATGAAATGCAGAAATATAAATGTAGGAATATTGGGCAGCCTTGAGAATAAAGGTTATCATTTAACAGAGAGAGAGAGAGAGAATGAGAATGTAATTCTTCCTTCAGATAGTGAGTTCTGTTACCACTGCAATGAATGTAAGACTTGCTTGCACAGATTTTTCAGGCACCTTTCGGATAACGCCAGTAATGTGTGACGTAGCTATGCCTATACCAGTGTTATTATGTGACTTTTAGTTTGCTTGTTTCCATTTAATGCTCCAAAATCTGCTATATGAACAGAATAATAGAACAAGGGTCAGAAGAAAAGGCCATATAGTCCTAGGTCCTGCTTCTGCTACCAGCAGACCTCTAGAAAGGTTACAAGTATCCTGCCTCTTAGCATGGTATCATCACATGGTATCATTACTATGAAATAAACCACACATAGATCTGTCCTCCCTGATGGTCTAAATCCAGTGGTGGGGAACCTGTAGACTGATGGCCAGATAAGGCCTAATGTGAGGTCAGGTGTGGGGCAGTTAAAAACACAAAAGTCTTCTTTGTTAAAAAGCAAAGTCTTCTCCCAATTGTTCCTTGGAAAGCAAGTCTTGTTGTACGTGGTAGTCAGGTGATCCATGTAGGTCAGCTGAAGAGGAAGTTATTGCCCCCTCTTTGCTCATCAAAGCCAATGATAGCCTTACTCTTCATGAATCTGTCTCATTCTTCATCAATGCCATCCAAGCTGGTGGCTATCAGTACAACTTGTTGGAGTGAATTCCATAGTGGAACTATTTATTCTGTGAAGCAGCACTTCCTTTCTGTTCCAGTTCTTCCAACATTCAGCTTCAGTGGATGGTCCCAGGTTTTAGTATTATGAAAGAGGGGATGAATATGTCTTCCTCTTTTTTCCATACAATGCAAAATTGTCTGCACCTCTATCATGTCCCCCCTTCCACTTAGTCATCTTTTCTCTAAATGATAGAGCCACAAATACTGCAACCTTTCGTTATAGCAGAGTTCCTCCAACCCCTTTCACATTTTGCTTCTCCTTTTCTGAGCCTTTTCCCAAATCTGCAATGTCTGTTTTGAGTACAGCAGTATTCCCAAGTGTGGATGCACCATAGATTTGCATCACGACATTGCCAGATTTGCTTTCAATCCCTTTCCTAAGGATCCCTAACACAGAATTTGTCTTTTCTACAGCTGCTGCACACATGGTCAATATGTTCATGGATCTAAATTGGTGGAATCTTTGAAGGGAAGCAGGGAGAAAAATGCTTTCAGGGCTGGAGCAGGCCCCAAATTGATGGTTAGTCACCCCTGTTGTAGACGATACTTGTCTCAGTAGATGGCGTCTTCCTATATTCCACCCCTCTTGCTCTCCCAAGCCACCACTAGAGTGTCTTTAGCAGATAGCCAGTGTGTTAAAATGCTTTGGTTGCAGCCCTATACACACCTACCTGGGTGTAGGCAGTGCTCCCCCCCCCCAAAAAAAATATATATTTAGGGGCACTCTCATTTTGACTCAAGAAAACCACCATAGTTCATATTGGGAAAAATAAATACAGCAAATGGACAAAAGTACAAAGATTCACAAAATGTTTAGGGGTATGTGTACCCCTGCATACCCCCCAGAAAAAAGCACTGGGTGTAGGTAACATTGAACTCAGTGGGATTTCGTAGTTGCAAATGGCAAGATTGTGCTGCTAGAAGCCAAGTCTTTCCCTCACTCTAGGTGATACACACACACACACACACACACACACACACACACACAATTGAGGCTGCATAAGGAAAGCTGAAATACATCCTCAAAGTCCAAGGTTTCTATTGTGATGTGATTTAAAAAAAAATTCCCAGAAAGGCAGTCTAAGGAGAGATGTTCCACTAGGGGGCTCTGTTTGCACACACAATAGCAATCAAAGAACGGTTAGCTCGCCTGCTTTCCAACCCCTGCGCATTCCTCCCCTCCTGTATTTCAGAGAAAATAGTCATATTTTTAAGTAAGCATGGGAACAATGGATGCATGTCTTGAGGTGTGTGTGGAGAGGGGAGGGCAGAATCGCTAGCAGGCATAAAGCAATTATGGTTATTTTCTTGACAAGAGATACATCAATAACTATTTGACTGAAATCTTTTCGGCTTTTGTAGAGTATAATCGGTGCTGTTCTGACTTGCATTTCAGCAACATACATACTAATCCATTAATTGTATTCAGTTGGAGTTGGTTTATGTTCCTTGCCACAGAACATTTTTCACCCTACACCTTTGGAGGGGTAGTGATCATGAGTTTTAAAAATGCAGTACTTGTTGATTGATTTACTGCTTCCTGATCCGTAGGTGTGCTTCCATCGCTGTTCAGTGATAGGACGATTCAGCCTCCCCCAACCACGTGCCCTTAAGATAATTTGGACTACAACTCCCTCCATCCCTAACCAGTGACCAGAGGTCAAATGCGCTTCCAGCAAGCTGCCCCACATATAGCTCTGCCACTACATTCTGTAGCCGCTGCAGCCTTGGAACAAAACTGCATCTACATTCAGTAGAGACAGTGTTTTTTTTTCTAGAGAAAAACCAGCTGTGGAGCATATGCCTGCACTGCCCAGGGCGGGGGCACTCCTGAGGGGGGCGGGGAGTGGAGAGTGCCCTCCCAGGCGTGGGATAGCTGCTCGGGTGCATGGAGCAGCACACGCTTCCTGCAGCCGGGGGCATGGTGAGCTGCCCACAGAGCAGGGCGAGCCGCCAATGGCAGACATTTGGCGCACCGCCCATCTGCGACTCCCAAGCCTCCCCTGATCTGTCAAAACGAAGAGGGAAGGGGGGAATGACTCTGGCAAAGCGGCAC